TATGTGTATGTGTTTGTTGGTGCGTGTGTATATTATGTTCGTGTGCGTGTCCATGTGCATGTGGTTGTGCATGTGCGTGCGCGTGTGTGTGTGTGCGTGGGCATGTGGATGTGCGTGTGCGTGAGCATGTTGAAGTACGTGTGCGTGTGTGTGTGCCTGTTGATGTGCGTTTTCGTGTGTGTGTGTGCGTGAGCGTGTGGATGTGAGTGTGCGTGAGCGTGTTGATGTGTGTGCGTGTGCGTGTGCATGGGGCTGTGCATGTGTGTGTGCGTGTGCTTGTGCATGTGCGTGTGCACGTGGTTGTGCATGTGGTTGTGCATGTGCGTGTGGTTGTGCGCGTGCGTGTGCGTGTGCGTGTGCCATGTGCGCGAGCTCGCCGGAATGCGCCTGTGTGCAGCAGATGTACTCCCGCGTCCATGCGTGAAGCCTGTTGTGTGTACGACATAATTATGTTCGCAGAGACTGCTGTATAGTATTGCGTAGTGCATTTCGTTACAACAACGTGTGTAAGATTGTGAAAGTTGATACCGCTATCATGATAGACACGTTTATGTTAATGATCTTTATCTCAGGCAAGCCGCTCCCAGCGGCTCGTGGTCGAAACCGTTGTGCCGGTGAGCTGCTGACAGCGGCTCGGGCACATTCCTTTACAACGACTTCAACATCAAATTACATGTACTTTCCGGCAGTTGCCGAAAACAGGCCTCTTTTATCGCGATTTCATTAATTAAATGAAGAATATCGAAATGGGTTCACTTATATTTTGATTTAAGGCCCAATTTAATGACGTTTCGTCTTGTTAGATTGTACCAAAAGGGCCTCGGCATAGTCTTTTCTTGCAACTTTTCTTGATTTGTCTTGCATCTTTAGCTATTTTCAAATACAACTTTCTCTGAGGACAGAAGTGCCCCCCCCCCCCTCAAAGGAGATAAAGAGTTAACCCTCTGTGCACTGGGCGGGACAGAGTGGATTATGGTTGTGTCACGACGCGGTGAAATCAGCCACTCGTCAGTCTTTGGGGCACACTATGGAGCTATTGATATAGTCTTAAGCCCATTCTTTTGCCTTGCTTTTAATGAGAAGGATACTCATCTATCTTGATCAGAAGTCGAGATATTTGCGTTTGAAGGAGGTGGGGGTCGCCTAGGGTCAGAAGTAAAACGATTAGCGAGAAAATGGCTGCAAAAGTTTGGCGACTTCAAAGGCTTGGTGTCCTAGGAAACTGCAAAATTATACGTGAGGCAGCATGGTGGAATCAGGCTCTCGCCAAAATAGTCAAAGCGAAGAAACTTGCATTTTTCCGCAGGTTTATGAATTTTTATCAAATTTTTTTAAGGCTCAACACCTTTCATGCCCATTAAAGAACTCTCTTCTGTTTGATTTTTTTTTTAAACGTAGATTTAAAAGCACACAAATTTAAAGTTTTAGTAACCTCTTAAGCTAAGGAAATAACTAATTTTGGTGGCCATTTTCTCGCTAATTTTACCTCTGAAAACAAGTGACCTCTACCTCCTTCTTTAGCAAATATCTCGACTTGTATTTAAGATAAATGGATGTTTTTTCCATCCAAATAAAAACAAGTGAACAAGCTTTACTAAGATAATACCAATAACTCTACATGCACTAAAATTGACGAGAGCCTGATTCCACCACGCTGCCTCACATATTGTTTGGTGCTTCTCCTCAACGCCTTCCAGTAACATCCATTAAACAGAAATGTGTTTTTAAATGAACATACAATATGTGAGGCAGCGTGGTGGAATCAGGCTCTCGTCAATTTTTGAGCATGTAGAGTTGTTGGTATCATCTTAACTTGTTCACTTGTGTTTATTTGGATGAAAAAAATATCCGTTTATCTTGAATACAAGTCGAGAAATTTGCGAATGAAGGGGGTGGGGGTCACCTGTTTTCAGAGGTAGAATTAGTGAGAAAATGGCCGCCAAAGATTAGTTATTTCCTTAGCTTAAGAGTCCGTGGTAACTGAAAATTTACACTTTTGCGCCTTTAATCAACGTTTTCCCCCAAAATCCCCACATAAACGAGTTCTTTAATGGGCAAGAAAGGTGTTAAGCCAAAAAACGAAATTTTATAAAAATTCACAAACCTGTTGAAAAATGCAAGTTTCTTCACTTTGATTATTTTGACGAGAGCCTGATTCCACCTCGCTTCCTCACATATGATGAACCTCTCCCCCCTCCCCTCTCCAAAAAGATTCGTTTTTATCCTGTTAGTGTAAGGTGAACCTTATAACAGGATAGAAGCATTTGTAAGGGATGGGGGTGTTTTGTAAATTGGCAAAAAGGAAAGTGGGGGGGGGGGGGGGGGAGGAGGGGATAAGACAACCACAAGAGACAGACAGTAGAATGTGTTTGACACATATAGATAGGTACATTATCTCGGTCTGTCTTTTCGTTTCGCCTTATTCCGAAATATCAAACCCCCCCCTCTCTCTCTCTCTCTCTCTCTCTCTCTCTCTCTCTCTCTCTTTCTCTCTCTCTCACACACACACACACACACACACACTTTCTCTCTCTCTCTCTCCATCTTTCTATCTCTCTATCTCTGTGTGTGCATGTGTCTGTCTGTCTGTCTTTCTGTCTGTCAGTCTCTCTCTCTTTCTCTGTGTGTCTGTTTGTCTGTCTGTCTGTCTGTCTGTCTGTCTGTCTGTCTGTCTGTCTGTCTGTCTGTCTGTCTGTCTGTCTGTCTGTCTGTCTATTGATCTATTTATCTCCTCCACCTCTCCTTCTTTTCTCCCAGTGTATGTACGCGCGCGAGGCTATGTGTGTGCGTGTGGGTGTGTGAATGTGTGAGTGAGTAAGTGTGTGTGTGTGTGTGTGTGTGTGTGTGTGTGTGTGTGTGTGTGTGTGTGTGTGTGTGTGTGTGGGTGTGTGAATGTGTGAGTGAGTAAGTGTGTGTGTGTGTGTGTGTGTGTGTGTGTGTGTGTGTGTGTGTGTGTGTGTGTGTGTGTGTGTACGTGTTTCTTTCGAGGGGAGGGGTTACAACATTTCCCGTCTTGCCTCTATCCACAATCCCAGCTCTATTCAATACAGTACATTGACCTCAAAAGCTTTGCCTGGGGCATTATTGGCGATCTCTTGATCACAGTACTTGTACGTACTTATAATAATATACATTGCTTACTTTCGTCTGACTGCGTTAAAAATCTCATTGATCGGTGTGCCAGTAGACCTACACATGGAATGTAATAAGGATGCATACACCAGATCAGGGTTGCCACTCTCTATTTTGACACAAACCCAGATCCGGCCAAATTTGGGTCAAAATAAACCCAGATTTCAGTCCATAAACCCAGATGCATAGCTTATATAAGGGGGGAAAAGGCTTGAGGTTAAAAAAAATTGAATTTTTAAAAAATTCAACAAAAATTGTTTAAAAGTTAATTAGGCCTAATTAATTTTCAACTTCAATAAAGCAATTTTCAGAATACTCCAACATTGAAAATAACATTGCTGACAGCGTGTGCAGTAGGCCAGATTTTAATGACAACAAATGTTATGTAGCCTACGACTACTTAAAAAAAAAATCTTAGCCTATGCCTTGTGTCCTAGCCTAATTTGGCTTGTATTGGCTCTGATGGAGCCAAGAACCCAGATTTACTCAAATTTCCCTTGTACCTTCCCAGAACCCAGGACCCAAGTCGAAATACCCAGATCTGGGTTTTTTAAAAAAACCAGGAGTGGCAACCCTGCACAAGATCATTACAAAAATGATTTGCAGGAGCAAAGCCTGCATACTACAAAGTGCTCATTTTGAAACAGTGACACCGCCCTGCCCCTACATTTCAATGTTATCATTAAAAAATTCATTCGACGGCTGCCAAGACGTCTCCACGTGCGTCTCGAAAAGTATTCACCCGTAACAATAATAATAATAATAATAATAATAATAATAATAATAATAATAATAATAATAATAATAATAATTGCATTTATATAGCGCATATCCATGCTCAAGAGCATGCTCTATGCGCTTTACAACTATTATTACCCTAGCAGACCCTCTGAGAACACTCAGAAACATTCTCGGCTTCCGCGGAAGCATACAGTGCAAGCTGCGGATTTCACGCGCTCAAACACTATCAAACTGACAAGATCGTTCACTGTCTATAGA